TTCTTGACGGATTTTGACAAAACTTGGTATGAGTGTTCGTAATCACCCAAGGACCCTATTGAAAATCAGAAGAAATGAAAACTATTTAGTATGAGTTATTGCCCTTCTTCTTGAAAACGCTTTAAAATTTAGCTCTTAAAAGGCATGATTCTTGCTGGATTTTGACAAAACTTGGTTTTATTATTCAGTCCCGCGCTGAAGATTGAATATTTGCCTTCTAGAGTTTTCATGAGCTAAAAATTGAACACGTTTTCAAGAACAAGGGCAATAACTCATACTCAATATTATTCAGTGTTGCGCTAAAGAGTTCAAAAGAAGTGTATGACTGAAGGTTAAATATTTCATACTGGTGATTGTTACTGTACTGCTAAATATTTTTATTCAAAATCAAAGTTGCGTATATGGGGCGTATATTACCTTGCCTGGCAAGCTATCTTTTAATTTGACATCATGAACTGGAATTTCTTCACTTAAGTATATTATTCAATTTCATATAATGTTTTTTCTTCTTAGAAATAATAGAATAACTGTAGAATGTGCCAAACATTTAGCTATCGGCTTAAAGAAAAATACATTGTTAAAATCTTTAAATGTAAGTACAAATTAAATAGTGTAGTTGGTTTAGTTTCATATATTTTCTCTAACCTAACATCTGATTGAAATAGAAAATTTAATGTTCAAAATTTGAATTCCTTCCTTCCAGACTTCAAACGTGTATATATTTATTTTTCCAGTTGAATCAGAATGCTATGAAAGATGAAGGAGTAGAAGCTATTTTGAAAGCAATTATGATCAATTCTTCTCTGAAACTATTGTCAGTAGAGGTATATATAAAACTAACTGATACTTTATTCAATTAGAGTGCGGAAATGGGAATAAATAACTTTTGTCCATTATCACTTTTCATGTAAACAATAGCTCTTTCCTTAAAGCTATCAAACCAAACCAAATTTTTGCATGCACCGCACTTAGCCACGAATGAGAATTCTAAATACCTTTTGTGTGTAATTGTAATAACCTCATTTTCCTTTCTTGTTTTTTGTAAGAATTGTGCAGTAAGTAGAACATTGACACAATTGGTTTTTATAGTTGTTTTATCAAAGTTTTAGTGAGATGTGTTTATTTTGATCGATAATGTGATATACACAGAAATTGCATGCAGGAATGTGGGCTAGGAATGGAATGTATGAATTCGTTCTAAATTTGTTAAAAAGTTCAGCATTAAATTCAGCTAATTAAATTGTTTCTTGTTGTTTTTTTATTATATCATTTATTGCACTTTGAATCAATTGATATATTCTGAAAACTACCTTAATTAAATGACAAATGCCCACATGAAATGTTGTCACCAGTGGCATTTTATCCAATCCAGAATGCCTTCACACAATTCTTGACAGATTTGAATAAAACTTTGTAGAGATATTTGACAGATTTTCACAAAATGTGTTGAAATTGTTGTATAATCTGTATATTGTAGGAAATTGGATTAAATATAAATAATGCTAGATTAATACAAGATATAAGTATTAATAAAGGTATTCCTATTTTACATGGTGGAACTGGAGGCTATCAACGAAATACTGTAAGATATTTCCTTGTTCATTATCAAACTTTAGTTTTTATCATATTTAAGCTGATAGGGTCATTTGCAATCAGGACAATATAAATAATGGGAATATTTCAATACCTATATTTGTACCAAGGTAGGTTACCTGCTCTAGAACAGCTCTGTTTCCAATATTTAAGCTCTAATATTAAAAGCTTGGCATGTTATTTTTGAAAGTTATTTAGGAGATTAAATTTATCTAATTTCTGTTTTAGGCTATCACAAGTATTTTGAATATGTTTCGAGTTTATCTAGAAAGTAACTATAATGATATACAATCAGCATTTCAAATGCAAGATAAAGAACAGTTAGGAATTTTAAATTCTGATGAAATAAGAAACTGTTTAAAAGATCATGGTTTGAGGATGACTAATGTAAGTAATAGAATTGTTCTTATACTGTGTTATAAACCATATTTGTCTCAATGATGAAACATAAACATACTTTAGTAGAAAATGAAATTAAACATTTGCATTCCTAAAGCGCCTATAAAAAAACATACTAAGTTGCCTTACCAGTGTGATGAGTTAGTAATGCTGATAGATATTTTAGACAACTAAAGTGACAGCTCAACTACATTGTAACTGTTGCATCCTATTAGAACACCTCAGTCCACATAAGTAACTATATCCTTTGATGTTTCATTTGAAACATTCACAGCAACATAATTTTCAATTCATTTTTACTAGCGAATGCTGGATTCATTATTAGAAGAACTGGACAAAACAAATACTGGTAACATTTTCTATAGGTAGGTTTCCTTTATTTTATTCAGTTGTTCAGTTTGTACTCCTTTACAAACATTAATATCATGTTAAAAATGAACAATCATCATTTATCATCTAGCCAGTGCTTGTCTTCTACTTTCAATTCTACCAAAACTCTGCCTAATAGATTTGTTATAACAAGTGGAACTTCTATTCAGTAATTAATTTCTGCTTTCTTATTTCAGAGATTTGTTAAATATTGCATTTATTAGTGACCATGTAAAACATAGATCAGTGGATCACACTTCTATTCATAATGGTGAAATGGGTAGATAACCTTGACACTTTCAACAATGACAGACTACAGCAATTTTATTACGCCCACATGAAATGGGGGGCCTATATTGCCGTCACCCATGTCCGTCGGTCCGTCCACAATTGCTCGTAAACACTCTACAAGACACAATTCTTGACCGATTTTGACAAAACTTGGTGCGAGTGTATGTAATAACCCAAGGATGAACCCTATCGAAAATCAGAAGAATAAAAAAATAGTATTGCCCTTGTTCTTAAAAACGCATTCAAGTTTAGGTCTGTAAACACTCTAGATGACTCAATTCCTGACAGATTCAGTATCGCCTCAAAAAGTTCAAAAGAAAAGAATATCTGAAGGTTGAAATATATCATACTGGTAAATATTACTGTACTCATACATGTGTACAGGTCAGGAAAAAAATCTGGAGATTTGCCTTGAAAAATCTGGAGATTGGGTGAAAAGACAGAAGATTTTTTCAAAGCGCGTAAATTCGAGAATTTTAAGCTCAAAATTGCTTTTTTTTGTTAAGAAAAAGACTTATGCGTTATTAATTATTTATTATTTGCATGACACAGTAAAAATTAACAAATATATATACATAAAAGAAAATCTCAAATATAATAATGTCCAAGTTTATTCATCCATTCACATGAATCATATTAATCTTGGCCACTGAAAAAGCAAAAGATTAAAACACACTGAAAACAATAATAAATTTAATGCTCCTGACATACCAGTGTTACTTTTAAGCAAATGAATGGATTTTTATGAATGAATGAATTCAAATTAAATGTCATATCAGGTCTATCAAAATGAATGTAACAATGATATCAGATGTTACCTGTAAATTCTGTGTAGTGTTGATGGTTCAAGATTATCTTGGTTATCAGCTAAAACAGCTCTGGCCTTCATTCCTATAGCTAAAAAATCCACTGGAAGGTAATTATCTTTATTGGTATAATCAACTTGAGTGACATCTTTTGCTGATTTCATTGAAGAAATCTTTAAAAACTTTCCCAAAAATGTCTTTAACAAAGTTTTCATCGGACCCACCATATCCACAATTAAACAACTTTCAGACTGAAATAAAATCAATCAATAAAGTATGTCTGAAGGTTGAATATATTATACTGGTAGTTGTTACTATACTGCCAAATATTTTTATTTAAAATCAAAGCTGCCAATGGGCGTATATTACCTTGCCTGTTAACCTATCTTATATACTATTTCTAACTGTTTACTATTTACAGACTTTCATTTGAATTTCATAATTCATAAGAATTAATGAATGAATGAACTTTCAGTGCTGTTGTTGTCTTAGATAGGTTGGAATATTCTGAGGTCATGATAACCTAAAAATGAAAACAAAATGATATGGTCAATGGAAATCTTGATGCACTTCAATTGTTTATATCAATTTGTTTTTATTTATTCTGAAAAGTAGAGATTAGTATCTGAATTTCATCAAGTTTGAAATGTGTTTAAACCTAATTTGACTTGTGATACTGTTAACAATATAATGTGGTCTGATTGTTATTTGATCCATCCAATTTTATATATTTTTATTAATGATTATATATTTATTTTTAGAATTATTATAAAAGGATTATTATTTGTAAACCCATCTGCAAAGGCTTTTATAGTGTTTTCTTTCATGCACGATTTGAAGGTTACCTGAGGGAATTTTTCGGTAGAATGAAGGATTAGAAATGTCCGCAAAATTTCTAAGGCATGCTGCATGGTGCTTATTCATGACACTTTATTTTTGAATGGCTTAATCCTCTTCCTCTTATATTGGGTTCCTGTAATGGGTTATTTGGTTTGAAAAAAAATATGAAAATATACCATGGTTATCACCTAGAGAAATCATGAAAATAACACCGAGTAAATGTCTATTTTGAAACATAGTGAATCATGTCAACTTCAGTTATGTTGCTCCCTGTTGAGAGTACTAAGCAAGAAATTCAATTTAAGAAAATATTTGCTAGTTTAACATCCAGACTAGTGCCCTTGTATTTTAGAAAAATCACAAGGGCCTAAATGACCATAATTTAAATATTCATGTCTGTTTAAATAATTTACCCAAAATTGGATATGCATTGTGAAAGGTTTAGCCCAAGATGTCGGACAATGAGTGGCGTTCCTACAAGGAGCAATGGGGGCTAATATTTCGGCTATTTAGGCCACTGCCCCAGACAACGTGCCATTGTCGCCACTATACTCCTAGTCACAGCGCTTAATTTGACTTTTTCAAAACAAAGACGAATGTTCGGCGATCTGTTCTGCAATGCGTTGAAAGCATCATAGGTTCGAGAAGGTCATCAGGGTAGTAACATCTCCTTCAGTGGCATAAAGTGCAGTACACGCGTGGTAAAGGAAGACGTTAAGACGCTGATAAAACGTTGGAACGCAATATGGTTACATAACTGGGGGTAAGTTAGAGGTCGACTGTTAGTTAGTTTATAACTTTATAGGGAATTATTCTCTAGTTTTTCTCACGTTTGACCGCGACTAGTACATTTCATGTCGCTGTAAGATTGCAAATTTTCGTCCTGCTGGGCTATAAAAGATTATGCGACTGGCCAGGCTTTGATCACCTCCAGACCCACACTTTCAAATATATCATTGAGTACTTAAATGTCTCGTTCTGTGGGCGTATAAAAACGAAAGGGTATCTTAATTAAGTTTAAGTATTAAAGAAATGACATAGGAAAAACGGGATCTCAGATGTTCAATAAGACTTAATAAACATAATGACATTAAATCATGTGCATGGTGGTACATACATAACTGGGACACATAAAATCATTGTTTCTTGAGTTCACTAATACGTTTTAGTATTGGTAATTCTAAAAGTAAATAACGTTTCCTTTCTAATTGGTAACTGAATATGTGCTGTGTGTTGACGAAATATGCATTGGGCGCCGTTTACGACAAGGCAAACATCGATCAAGGAATGTTTCACGATATCTGGAACTGATGATCAGATAGGCAAGAAAATCCACCGCGAAGCTCAAAATTCCAAGAGTCTCTCCCAGTTCATTAACAAACAGGTAGGTGAGTCGATTTTCAGAAAAATAATTCCAGTCAGCTCGTACAAGACCTATCAAAGAATTAGTGGTTGTGGGCAGATTAAGCAGGAAAAAAAGACAAGTTGAAAACATAATGGCAAGGGTCGTCTGTTTTTCTCTGGTCATTGAAACGGTGACCACTTCTTGGAGACTGGCTCTCTTTTTCTGAACTCTTTGCAGGATCACACACAAAATGGCGTTACTGATGAAGATGCCTACCAATGGAACGTACACAAACATAATCTTTCCAGCAAAA